CTCCGTGGCAGCTCCACAACTGGTCTAATCTACTTGGTGAACAACTATAGCCAGAGCCGCTTATATTGAGAGAGTTTGGGCTTCTTAACGAGATTCGGGCGGTCTGGCAACCACAGGAGCGTAGTCTGTCAACCGGGAAATGACTGCTTCCGTCCGCCATTTCGGAGCTCTGACTCACAGGAATGGCTTGGGAGAAGAGCGTGTTGGTTCAAGCCATAGATGAAGAAAGGATAAAACAATTAAAACAGGGACAACACAATCACATCTTTCATAGAAAGATGTGGTTGTGTTGTCCCTGTTTTAATTGTTTTATTCTTTCTTCATCCATCACAGGAATTCTATGCGATTTCTCAAGAATAAATAAAAGAAAGCAGTAACGCCATTTTCTGTTATAACAAAATCCGCTGATTCTGGCGGGAAGCATGCTCCGCCCATTGGCCAAGCTCTTTCTGCATAAACGGCTCTGGCTATAGCCACTGACAGGATAAAAACGTCAGGCATAACTTCCTCTATACTCAGAAAGCCCGGCACTTCGACGACGGAGCCGGAGTGCCCGGTCGCAGATTTGGAGCGCGAGGATCTGGTAGCACAGAGCGTCAAAGAACCCTCTTTCGGAGAACCTGGACGTCAACGCACAGTGTTTTCAGCTGTGAGAATCCGAAACACACTTGTTCACTTGGAAGAAGTGTGCATCGGCGTCTCGCCGCAGCGGGGCGCCTGTCAGGTGGCTCTCCTCTCATCCGTTGCCTGCCGCTTCACCTTTTCCATTTTAGCGGCCGCTTTTCGTGATGATCTGCCAGGCTTTGTCAGTATACAGGAGGCTATGCGTCCGGGCGTCCCTCTCGGATGCCCGGCATTGAGCACACGCTTGTCGCCTTCCGCCGCGCTTTCGCCGGGCGTGCACGCTTGGGGCTCACGAGACGTCGAAGTGTTACCCGAGGTAGGAGCCGCAGCTAGAGGCGAGACAGCCGAAAAACCTACCTGTCGTTCTCACCCTTTCAGGGGCCATAGGAGCGTCTAGTGACAATATGCCGACAGTGCTGGTTGTGTGACGACATTGGCATTAGGATAAAGGACGAGTTGAAAAAGTCACGTGACATTTTTCGAAGTTTTGAGCTCGTAATTTTTGTTCACATCTTCACCCGAAGCACAACTTAATCCCGGGGTTGTAAATATCTTCATTACAAGATGAGCATTCCAGTTTTCCTCAGCAATAAAGAACGTCGCACGCTGTGACCGCACGGCCTTGTCGTTTCGTTTCTTAACTTATAGGATCCAACCGCGTCATCAACAAATAAAAAAGTACTTGTAATTCTGAACCTGTATCACTCATTACCTTTTTAATAGCCCGTTTTTACATGAATGTAAATTTACAACGTTACTGAAGCCCCAAACACTTGATCAAGCGGATAGTATACAATTTTAAAAGTAGTTGAAAACGTTTTTTTTAGTTGTATAATCTAGTTTTTTTAATTAAATGCTTTGAAACTTGTTGCGTTTGTTATTTTTTATTATCAATCAACAAAACCAAAAAGTTAAATCCATCTCACTCAATATTATGCCTTGATCCGCATTAACGGCGTTGCATAAACTCATCAATTTGCCATACAATGCCACACAGCATAGTCGCAGTGTTTTGGTTCTTTACAGATTATAAACGAAATGTGAGGGGAAATGTTTAGTACAACGTGAAAACAATGCGTCCTGTAGATCCAGCTGACAGCATGATCAGTACAAGAATCAGCAGCAACCACAAAGCAGTCAATTCGTGACTCGTTGTTGGATTGCTAACTGGGTACGATTGGGCAAAGTACTCCATAGCTTTCTTCTCCCGTCAGAGAGAATGGTGGCGACGAGATGTTCGGGTGGCGCCACCTCGCGGGCGCCCTCCTGTGACAGAGCTGGTAGAATGGGAGCAGACGACGCGCTATGTCAATGCACGGAGTGGCTACGTTAGTTCGCATCTAGGCCAATTAAGAACTGTTTATTTATTAAACAAACGCGTATACGTTTGTTGGAGTGATTTTTCTGATGAATAGCAGGGCCTCAAAGTGGAATTTTATATTAAAAGTACTTTAAAAATTTCAAAAACAAGCTTGGAGCCTCACATTTGAGCTTGCACAGAGTGCATAAGGGCTATTCACGGCCTCTCTGATTCTTTTTTTTTTTCGGATTTGTGGAGGCTGCTGTATATAAAAAAAGGCTTTTCAATCATCCAAGTATCGGACGGGCTGTCTTCGCTGTGCATACGCGAAAAGTTGCGTTGCAAAG